CTACTACTACTACTACTACTACTACTACTACTACTACTACTACTACTCTAATAATAATAACAATAATGCGTTGCTGGAGAAATGGATCCAGTCACGGGAAGTACCCTGGGATCTTTTGGGTGTAGCCGCTAGAACATGAGTTCATGATATTTCTGTACTGTCAGTTACATCGCATGGATGAGATTGGCGTCTATTCAACACACCCTTCAACATCTTCAACCAGAAGTTCCAAAGTGGTAGGTCATTCGACCCTAGGTGAGTGTAACATTTGCACTCCTCCAATAATAAGCATCCTTTAGAACTGGTGCTTGAGATTGATTCACACCCAGTTTTTGCGTATCTGAACTTGATCGACCCTAGAGCTCCAACCATATCCTCAGAAGGCGTGCACAGAACCGCGCCCACCACTCTTTTTCACAGGAGGTAGGCCAGGAGCCTCAGGGCTAATTCATCCAAGACCAAAATGCTCAGGACTCTCGCAACGCATGTTACTTTCCAGGAAGCGCCTTTACTAATGCGATCGGATCGCAGGACTGGGGCCCAGACAAAGAAACTATATGCCGCACAACCTTGAAACCATGGTTGACCCTTGAAGCATCTCAATACCACCGGTCCCTGGCCATTTGCCAATCTTCTAGCCTGGGAGTGGGAGACTGAGAAGTCGATTCTGGTCGCACTTCTCCCAGACTGGTCGCAGGTTTTCCTTCGGTATTCGGTTCCGGGAAAAGTGGTCCGTGAGGCTGGGAACGAATTGCGGTGACTGGCCTGATCAAGGATCCCCAAAGCTGAAGTTTTATGAGGTTCCCATAGGTTTCCTTTTACATGCTTGCCGTTGTCCAATCACTTCTTGCGCTGCTTCATGCCAATCCCTGGAACTTCGCCCCGTCTCGGGGTGCCGCACCTCGCGACGACCCGCGACGGAAAGCGACCCACGTGAGGTCGGACAGCTTGCCCAGACACGGGCGGATCGTCGGGGCCGTTGGGGAGAGTGGATGGATGAAGAAGAGGAGGAGGGGAGGATATCTAGGGCTCCTGGCCCACCTCCTTTTCGGTTCGGTGAGCCAGGGGTGGGTGCCAGGGGGGTCGAAGACCACCGAACCTGAGGAGATGGGCCAGGAGCCCTAGGGGATGATTGATGATCTGGGTGATGGTTTCGGATATGTGTTTGTGTTCAACCCTTACTTGGGGATGATTGGATTGGACCCTCTGACTTATATTTTTTCTTTCGTGGGTTGAAAACACCAATCAGTGATGATGGGGTGGTGATGATGATGGATTTTGCCTGGTACTATGCATGCTCGCAAGTGAACCTTGGGGCTTAAGACATCCGACGAATGCTCGGCACGCTTGCTTTAGAAGGTCAACAAAAAATGGCTTATGCAGAGCACACCAGCCGCTTCCAATGTTAAGAAAGTTCAAACAGAAACAAACTAGGGAAAGGGGTCCTGGGGCCCTCCCGAATCCACGTCCTGTGCAGTAGATCTATAGACTGATTCGCTTAATCAACCCATCCTCACTAAAAGAAAGCGCGGCCTCCTATAGGCCTCGCCTCCAAGCCAAAGTAGGAAGTGGTCCAAAATGGGAAGTGCTTTTAGCCGCTGGGCCCCTCAAATGTATGTGGTCACCAGATTAAACGAGGAGTCTTGACAGCCATATGGTTAGTGCATGCTAGTGCTTTTGCCAGCTTCATTGGTTTCATCATCTTCACATTGTTGCCACTGGTAAGGCAGCCTTCTTTTATAGGTGCGGACACCCAAGCCTTATAATTGGGACATCGGCACCGATCCAACCTGTAGGGGTGCATCAAGATCGAAGATACAATCATGAGATGTAATGAGTGTTCTGTGGTTGCTTGACATGTGGTGAAGACCTTCACTTCATGCTAGACTACATAAAGCGTTTTTCTATGAGACATCTGCTGAGTCTTCATCGTGCAAGCCGTGCAAGTCGTCATCTTCAACAGCGAAATCGGTGCGAAATTGGCCCTTTGGGTCTGTGCTTTCGTCGTCTGAGTCCATCTCAGTAGATCTTCAGGTCAAAAGCATTGGGTAAATGGATGGACTCATTACAATGTACCCTGTAGATCCATTACATTGGGCAATTGGTGTAAAGCAAAGTTCTTTGCGCTCATCTTCAGGTCAATACATTGACGCTGCGGTGAACAAACTCTTGGATCGTGTCGAAGAAGCAGTGGAGACGTCAGAAAGCTCAGACGGAGGTTTTGTGTGTACACGCGTGTGTGCGAATCAGCTTGTTCATCTGAAGAAATCAGTTCAATCAACTGTCAAGGACAAATTGATACATACAACTCTGGTGGGATTGACCATTATCGTTGTTGCTGCACTATGCCAAGAAGGCTACTTACATGTGTTTGTGTGAGGGTAGGGGGTGCACTTATTTGTTTGATGTACTCAGACTCAGACCTTGCTTTCAGAAAACCGTGTTGAAAAAAACTGTAATGGTATTGATCTTTACATATTCCTTGAAGTGAGTGTTACTACACTGTCACACATTCCTTGGCACCTGCAACGTGACCCCCAGCCTTCAACATTGCGCGTTTTTGCTCTCTCAGGTGTACACCCACACCCACACCTCTTTGTATCGGTTCCTCATATGTCCTCATTTTCTCACGTTGGAAGGCTACTCCAGAAAGGCCTTGTGAAACAAGGGCACGTAGCGGGCTAGAAAGCTTAGCTTTCGAAGGGAAACCAGGGTCCTCAAATGGAAAGTGTGTTCAAGGTCCAGGATGCTGCTATGGGGGGTTCTTTATGGAGGGTCAGCAAATTGTATGGGAAGAGCCAAGATTTGGGGTCATGATTTGTTCAATGGCAACTGGTCCGGCGCTCCTCCGCACGTGCCACTCCAGGGAGGACCTCACACAACAGGGGTCCGTCAGCCCCAGTTCTGGGTGGCTGAATTGATCAGGAGTGGGAGATGTCTCTCCAATCGATCCGGGGCCGCCGAAAACACCTGAGTTCATCCGTTTGAAGTTTCATCATGTTTCATCATCCAAGGATTTGTATTGTAAGTCCCAGAACGACCCCTTGACTCCAGGAGTCCATGTTCGCAGCGTGGTCGTCAAAAGGGTGTTGTGGTAAGCTTCGGGTACTATTCTTGACTTGCTGCCTCTTGCTACCCTAGGGATCCGAGGGATCCAAGTACCTTCTCAGAAGGCACTTGGACCCTCCTGGCACCCACCCCAAACACCTTCTGAGAAGGTACTTGGATCCCTAGGGTACTTAGTTGTTTGATGTTCTTTGTAGGTACCCGATGTTCACTCTTGGCACTTGACCTGGACTTGTTCTTCCCTAGGGCCACAAGCACATCCCCAGAAGGCTGGAACAGACCCTCTGGCACGCCCCCCAAACCACCGAACCGAAACAGATGTCTTGGGAGCTACTCTCTCTCTCTCTCTGTTTGGTGCACTGCGCCTAAGTCCACTCCCCATGATTTGCCTGGAATTCAGATTTGTAAGTAGCTTCTGGGAGTGTTCATCTTGTTGTTTCATATATGATCGCCGATGTATAAGTTCTGCCCTGGTCGTTGGCGTGTTCACCCAGTCGATGTCCACCCAAAGAAAGTCCGTCTCCACAGCGGCGAACCGACGCCCCGGGCGCAGGGTTTGCCGCGTAAGCGTAGACCATATCACTTAGACCCATTCGATCTTCACATTTCTCACGGACCGTCACATGTTTCACCTGGTGGAAGATGGGAGACTTCCCCAAAACCGGAGCAGGAGGGGAGTAAACATAAACTGACATAAACGCTAATTCAAGGGGGTCTTCTCCCAATCCATATCCATTCGCCCCATATCCAATATCCATATCCAATATCCTACCGAAATCGGGGGCCCTCAAGGCCGACTGGTTCGGGTCCCTACCCCCTGCAACCGTCGGTCGGTCCTCGTGTTTGGTGGCTCGGATTCTGAAGGTGTCGTGGCTCACCTACCCGAGGGCCCAAGCTCATCCATCTGGTTCTTACAGTGGTTTCAGAGGTTTGATGGCACAACCCACCCGAAGATGTGTTTGATATAGGGGTCCATCTAAGCCACCGAACTGGGGGATTGTGCCATCTACTCTGAAACCACTGCATCTGAACCAACCCATCGGCCTCCCCTCTTGGTGGCGCCAAACCTCCGCGCGGTGGCCGCCCCCATATAGGGTGGCTGTGGAAGCCGTGAAGCGAGGACGGGTGTGGCGGAGGATGTGGTGGTGTGGTGTTTGGACAAAAGTTAAACTGGTGGTGCATATATTGGAAAGAACACAGCAGTCTCAGGCCCTAGGACTCCTGGTCCCACCTCCGGCAATCGGTTCGGTGGGGTGGGGTGGGTGGGGTACCAGGGAGGTCGGGTCATACCACCGGTCAAGGTATGGTTGGATCCCTAGGGAAGGACCAGGGAAACTAGGGATGTTTCTATAACTACCTGGACCTTCATGTCGGGGTCCTGACTGGAGATCCCGGATGGTAGCTGGGGCGAAACCAGCCTTGACCCCGACATGAAGGTGCTGGTAGATGAAGTTCAGACACTGGATGTGATGATTTGCAGTTGGCAAGAACCAATCTGTGTGTGTGTGTGGTAGTTCATGGTATTTCTATGATCAAATTGGAGTTCATTCTTAAGTTGACTTTTCATGACCTGCATCCTCCAACATGTCTCCTTTTTCGAGGGCTGTTGGGCCCTAAAATAGGTTTCAAATTGTTGACCCGTGTTTTTTTCATGTTTACCTTTGGAGTTGGGTCCTACTGAACTGCCAAAAGCGGTGGTGTTTAGAGAGTTCCTGTGGAAGAAAAATTGGGGTGGTTTCAGGGTCAATTTAGGTAAGTATTCCAGACATGGAGTGTTTGGGACACATAATTCATATCACCTCATGATAAATAGTTGTTCAACTACTGTACCATGACCAGCATAACCCAGACAATCTGAGGAAAACCGCCAGCGAACCCAGTGCCTTCATGTTGTCCCTGAGTTGTCCTCCTGTCGTCCTTTTGTTCCCCGAGCAAGTTCCTCGTGTTCTTTTTGCGTTGGTTGGTTGGTGGGTTTGTTCAGGAAAGATGAGGCTATTGGACAGTCTGCCGGAGCCCACTGTGTCCACAGCTGTTAAGAGCTTGTCCGCCCTCGGCCGTCCTGGGCCGTCCTCGTACTTCTTGGGCTCGGGGTGTGATCCCGGTGGAACCTCCAGCATTCTTAAGAACCGTTCTTGCAGGTTCTTGCTTTCTGGTCTATTCTGGGGTGTATTCTGAAAGAGGTTGATTCTGAAATCTGGATGTATGCCGTATGCCACTATATTTTTTGCTTATCAGCAGATTGGCTGAGAAAACAGGAGTTTCCTGGAACGTCACCTTTGCAGGACCAATCCTGGGAGCCCGGTACTCACCCAGGTAGGCTGACCATGACTTAGTCTAGTAGTCTTTTTCTGCGGTCTTTCTGCGGTCAACCAAACTTCCCCGGGTTTTGACTCTTTCCATATTGCCGCTTGGTGTAATTGTTTTTTTCTGGGTCGTGGTTGTGCACAGCTTTAGTGGCCCTATTACAAGGTTATGCCCCATAATTATCCACATACACCCGCCGCTGCTGCAAAAAGCCCAGTTGAACGACCCGCAGGACTGGGACACTTGCAAGACATGCAGGAGACGGTGGAGGACAGAAGCTATGGCGGGCCTGCAATGCCATGCATGTGGCATGCATGTCGGTACAGATGTTGCACTGCATCAGAAACCTAGCATCTGTGGGATGTATCCCATTACCAGTAACGGTCGGCAAGAGATTGTCATAATGATGGTTAGTAAATCGACGATTATTGCTGATGGGATACACCCAAGGCATGTGTTTTTGTTCCTTTGGTGTATGCTGCTGCATCTTTGGATTCCTTGCCCCCACAATGTTCATAGGGTTCTGTTGTTTTATGGGTTGTTGTCCCAACGATGAAGCACCGCCAGACTGTAAGACACATAGCAATCAGTTATGGTTGGATGGCCATGGCAACACCATACTGAGTTATACCGAGAATACCAGGTCGTCCGCACATCCACCAGACGCACTTAATACAAGTTTAAACCAGAACTGTGTTGATTCAGGCAGTCATCATATTGGAAGAACGTTCGCTATTTCATTGCACAGTGAGTTTCAATCAAAAGGGTCCAAAGAAATTCGATCATAATATAACTTCCCACCCAAAGGCTTTGGCTGTGCATCCGACCAGTACATGTTTCATTTGTTTGACTGCAACGTCGCCGCTCATGTGAGTCAATTGGCTATTCTCAACCACGTCTCATTGGGTCGAGCACGCACGTCTCATTGGGTCGAGGAGGATTTGGAGAAGTTGGAGATGGAACAAAAGCTCTTGGACGCCGAACTTCAGGCACGTCAATCGGCCGTCACTCGTGCCTCTCACCATGCTCGCCTGGCAAGGTGGATGGGGGGGTGTTCGTGAGAGGTCTAACTAGTCTAACTATACCCTAGGCTTCCAACAACCATTATTTTAATAGGCTTTACCGAATCAACTAAGGATTTTTCATTTCAAAAACAAGGTCAACCATTTTTATAATGGTCTTGGAAGTCTAGGGTATATATAGCGTTTGAGGTGGTGGTTCGAGCTCTGCGGAGCGCTACCCCACTTACCACCATCATTTGGTATGGACATCGGACTTGTTTTTCAAGGCAAAGTGTTGAACACAGTGTTTGCCAGATGTTTTGGGATGTCCCTCGGATGGGATGGTGGGGTATGAGGGAAGGGGATTTTGGCCACAGGAAAGGAAGGGAGATGGTGTGGCTGAGCCAAGGAAAGCATTGTCCAGAAGCAAAGGTTCCAACCACGCGCGAGAGGTGGAATTGGAACCCAGGCTCAGCCATAATCGACTGCTGGAAAGGGAATTTGCCTCCGTCCATTTTGATCTATCCTTCCAATGATGAGGTGTCGAAACACCAGCCTGGCTAGTCAAACAGGTATTCAATTTGTTTCATCAAGAGTCATCATGATTGTGACTTTCCACGTGTGACTTTAAGGGAACAACTGCCGGGAAACCATCGTAATCTTGGGGGCTTTGGCAGCCATGGTTTCCTGGTCGTCGCTCAAGGGAATCCCTTCTGCCAGGGACCTTTGAGTCGACGCATCGGGAGGTGTGAACAGGGGCGTTTTTGGTCACAGCAAGGAGAGTGACACTCCTCTTACATTCCCTATAGGGCTCCAACTATGTCCTGACTCCTGGGAAGATGGTTGGGGTGGGTTTTAGAGCTAACCTTCTGAGGATACTAGGGATAATCATGGTTAAGGGGAGTCCACCTGTCTTCGGATTGAACATCATCCGAACTCAGGGGCCATGGAAAACCACGCAAGTCACGGAGTGTTATCCTTCCTGTCTACGTCGGCCCAACAGGTCTTCACAGTTTGGCATGTTCTTTTCTTCCTGGCTGCGTGAGTATAGCCGTATATGGGGTTTGAGAAAGTTGTTAACCCCTTGCCTTGTTTGGGGGTTCTTTGAAGCACAGCCTGCACGTGTGGAAAACAAAGCCACTCCCAATTGGTTCAAAGAAAACACCATAAAACACCTTTTGAATTCATCCACATCAGCAGTCACAGCGGCACACACCGCCAGGAAGCTCAGAAGTTTCCACTCTATCCCAGTCGCGACTATGTGGTTGGGAGCCCCAACCAGAGAAAATGGTTTGGCTGTGAAACTGCTGTACTGAGCGAAGCGCCAGAAAAGAGGGGCCTTAGAGTCTTAAAAATGAGGTCGGGTCTCCTCCCACCAACTGCCCATGATTTTGGACCCCTGGTTGGTAGAGGAGTTGATTTCAAGTCTTTCCAGGGGCCATGCCATGAGAAGGGAGAGTAACTAACAGGAGGACAACCACCAAAATGGAACACAGCAACCTGGTTGCTCTTCCAGAGTGGTCACCGAACCCTTTTTCCGTGGGAGCGGCCTTTCGTGTGACGCGACGGGAAAGCCGCCGCCCCCCGCCGCCGACGGCGGACGCCTCGGACCGCGGGTCACGTTGGGGTGGGTCCAGTTGGATCCGAGCGACCAACCTCTCAGTCCTCTCAAAGCTCAGGCAAGCAGTTGCCTCAGGAGTTTCAAGCCCATGCCGAGCTTGCGAGCTTGGAGGGTAGGGGTGTCATGGGATGGACCTTCTCCACTCACCATCCTGAAAACCACCGACCACCCGGAGCTCGAAGCACCCCCGAGCTCCGAGAACCGCCCCAGATGCTCCTCGGTCGGTCGACCGCTGCAGGTGGCAGAGACTCCGGAGCCCCAGGATCCTGCTCCACCGGAGGCGCTGGAAGAACGACGGGTGGCGCACGCAAAAGGGAGGTTTTCCAACAGGGCGGGACGGTAGGCGGACTGGTGCAAAAGCGGCATGACACGATGTTTGCCAGCTTTTTGTAGAACATGCACGGCTTTATAGCGAACAAGATCACATCGATGGTCGGGGATACCCATGGTTTCCCGGAGATGTTGTTCATATATCGCAAATGAATTTGGAAGTTGCGGCACTTGCTAGAAGTTTCGGCAGAAGCTTCAGCAGTTTTGATATAAAGGTAGGGCTATCTCTTAATTGCAAGAGATCATTCTCTTTGTCGAGGCCCTACGGTCTACGTACTGCCTTGCAAATACCACAATCGCAGGCCTGCCCCAATCCTATAGTTTCAGGGAACATCTTGTCTAGTGTGGGATAGATTGAGAACTGTTAGCTGCATGACTAGCTGCATGATCTTAAGCAATGTTAGCTGCTCGTATGCCATCCTGTGCGTTTTCTCAGACCCTGAATGGTCTACCTCGTTGGGACCGGCTGTGAAGGTCCGGTCCCTTTCACCCACATATCGGTTGCGATGTTCGCTGCTGGCGCCTTGTGGCGCTGTACCAGGCAGCAGTACGGAGTCGACTTGAGCAGCAGAAACGAACGTTTTGATGCGGATCTCATCCCTGGAACAATGCAAGATCGAACGTGTACCTGCTACACCAAAAACATGGAAATCGTAGCAGCGCTTCAGAATTCGTACAAATCCAGCATTGCTGAAGCAATTCTTACGGTACCGAAGGAATTCCCGTATCAAGGCGTACTCAACCGTGCTTACCCGTATACTGACTTAAATTTCCATGTATGGGGCCTTGAGCTGAGAAAGGCACAGAAGTGGTGCTGCAAGAAAAGGCGTGCTGCGGCGTAAATTGCCGTACTGCTGCGTAAAGTTCCTCTAAAACACCAAATTCTTAAGAATTTCAGACTGCTGTAGCAATTCCTGCGGATCAGGGGGCGCAGGTAGCAATTGGTCAAGGTCCTTGAGTCCATCCTTGAGTCCTTGGGTCAGTTGCAGCTTGTATGTGTTTCCAACATTTTCCAACAACCCCGAAAGCATCCAAATGTGCCGCCGTGTCATCTAGATATTCTCACGATGCAGATCTCCTCCAAGCTGTCAATCGCGTGTTGCTTCTGCAAAATTGTGTCTCATGTGGCTGAAAGCACGCGATAAATGTTCTTTTCCAGCACTACTTGGACCTTTCTCCAAATCGGCTGAGGAGTTGTTCGGCGCCAGCAGCAGCGCCGGGGTTTCCTTTGGTCCACTAAGCCAGAGCACACAACGACTTATCTGACGGAGTCTTGCTCTGGTGAATATTGGAGCTGCTTGTCGATTGGGACCAATTCCAACAGATGAGGTACAAATTCTCGGTTCTCCGCGGTGGTTCTCAGACAGGCAAGTCCACAGTGGCTAAGAACTTGGGGCAATTGTTTGGGTGGCGAGGGCCATTCATTCAGACTGTTCAAAGTGCGGAGGCTCCAGATTTGAAAGGCTACAATCCAGAAGAGCATGGCTATATCTATATCTTATTTGACAATGTGAACCACATGGATTTGATTCTCAACGAGCGAGCTCTCTTCCAGGCCAATCGGCCAATGACCTTCACACTCGTCAACTCGCTGCAGGCCGATGTGCCAAGGTGGATCTTGTGTGGCTGGCGGGTGGCACATGGTTCACAAGGCCCTGAGTGACTTCTGCCTTGTGTACGCGGCAGCCGCTTGGTTGTGTTATTGGCGATGGAACCGATCTCTTCTTGTATATGCACTGAGCTTGAAACATGCCAGGAAAACAGGGCCGACTCGGCCGACATCTATAACTTGCGCAAAGACAACAAACAATCCATGATACCATCAGTGGCACCTTCTGCTCCAACATGGGACTAGAGCGAGGCTGAAAAGAACACCTGAGATGGACGATGTAAGACAAAATGCCCAAGTGGGCTTCCACAAATGGTGATGCAAAATCAGTATACCAGGCTTGCTCAAATGGAACTTGCACAATGAGGCCCAAAAACCGACACAGCTTAGCTAGATTGCAAGCACCAGAAAGACTCGGTGAACAATTTCAGTGCTGGGGTCCCGCCAGTCAGTTGCATTGGCACCTCCCAGCCTTTTTTGCCCAAATCTTGCAGTAGCTTGTCAAAACACACTTTGGGTTCTATTACGCTGACCCTTCCAATGAACTCCCCTTGTAGAAAATCTAAGTTTTGAGAGCGCCATCCTTTGCACCAACTTTCTTTCCCGGACTCCCGGACTCCCGAAGTGTGCGAAGCACTGGACATCCTTCAGTGCGTTTACAAGCGGAGTTCTTTGGTACCAACCTAGACCTTGTAAGTCTAATTCCTATAGGGATTAGAACTGATGGTAATTCCTATACAGGCAGCATCCGCGAACGGTATTGAACCCAATGATTTTTGTTTGCTTTTATTTGGTTCCTCGGTTTCCTTTTCAGCTTTTCTTGTGGATTGCTCTTCTGCTTGTTCGCTGTTCTTCGTCGTTGCTTTTCTGCTTGTCTACCTTCTCTACTTTTCTGCTTTCTCCTTCTCATCCTTTCTGCCTCTTAGCTGTTGTATTTTTTGTTTTTCTCCTTGTCAATTGTGTGTTCTGGCTTCTTTTGCTTGATACGATTGTTTGCTTGTTGCCTCTTAGTTGTTGTCTTTGGGCTTTCTGAAAAACAAGATATTGCCAGGCTTGCATCTATGATGTGTCTTCACAGACCTTTAGGCAACATTTAAAAAAAAGTTCGCCATCAGCAGGACTGAATGCAAATGAACTCCCAGTGCCATCCTGTTCCCAAAGCACGGAAACTTGCTCGCGTTCAGCTTTGCTTCCTCTTTCTTCCTCTTGCTTCCTTATGCCTCCTGATGTTCGCTGCCTTGCTTGCTTGCTCGCTCGCATCCTTCCTTGGTTTCTCATTAATCCATATCACGAAAGCGAGCTCAGAAGGAGCTCAGCGGAAGTTGTTGTTTACGAAATATAGTGAGGCTCAAAATTGAAGGGTTCAGTGAACTAATTGATTCTTTCAATTAAAGGGAGGTCAGCCGAGGGGGGGGGGCCCTCCCCTCCGTTTTTATTGATTCTTTCAATAACCACCCCCCCATTGATATTTCAATTGCAGATTGAAACGTCTAAGGGGGGGGTGGCCCCCCCCCCTGTAAAGTGAATTGAAAGATGCTATTCGACTCCTCCCTCGTCCTTTTGAGAAAACATACCAAATGCCTAGAAAAGACAATATGAAAGTCGATGTTATTTTTTGTGTTCGGTTGACTCAGCCAACAACACTTTGCGCTTGTGGTACAAAAGCGTTGCGTTGCTGCCCTCCCTCCGCGTCCCCTTGATCCTTCCACACCCCTCGCTTTCGTCCCCACTGTCCTCAAGTTAGCCCCTTTGCCTCTAATCAGTGCGGTGGAGAAAACATTTTTCGGCATAGTCGAATTTGCAACCCAGTCGCTTGGACACCTGGACGCAATCCTATCGAAACAATATTTCGCACCTGGTGATAAAAGAGCTGTTGAAGCATCACTGCGGCACTGAGCAAGTGCGATTCCTTCATTATCCACTTGAAAGACCAAAAGCTTGAATAGAGGTACTTCGCCAGGCTATGCATCAACAAGGCATGGCCTCATTCCTGCAAGGCTCAACCATAGCTTTCGGGCCATCAGGCAGACCTGGCTGTTCACAAACTTTGTTATCCCTGCAAACCCGAAAATGCCAATCAAAACGGGGCAGCGTTGTAAAGTCACACACATTATTGTCCAATCATTTGCACCAAGCGGTTCAGAGGCTGGCCTCCACTATTGGGCATTTTGAGTTTGGCACTGGGCCCACACTTTCTGACCAATGTGAGCAAGCCCTCTCAAGGAGCCAGGCTGGTAGGGTGCCAGGTCGACATATCATCCTGAGGCCTTTTCGGCAGCGGGCACCACAAGAACTCAGGGGGTCTTCACGTGGAAAACCTTGTGCAATGGCAAGGACCCAATGATATCCAATGCCTGTAAGATGCATCATCGAGCACTGCGCGAACAAGTCTTGCAACTTCTCTAGTCTATATAGCAAATTCTTAGAAGCTGGAACTGTTGCAGGAGTCAATAGGCGGAAATGGATGTGTGGCCGCGGGTATTCCTCAATGTGCGCCTACCAAGTGGCCCGAGATCGGAGTGAGCGCCTAACATGAAAGAGGTCTATTCGTTGGGTTTGTCCATGTCTGTCCTACCTGCTGCACCCCATAGAGACAAATTCTTGTCCAAGATCTGAAAAGCAAGCTTTCCAGGAGGATGGCCAACAATAGTTGTCCGGGACGTGAATACCCGTATGGCTACTTTTGGGCATATACCCTGTGGAATCCAGCTTTACTGTCATGAATGGTCTCAATATGCCCCAATGATTTGGAACCTTGAAAGATCCTTCCGGCAAACACCCCTTATCATCCCCTTGCCATGCAAAACCTTCAGGTGCTTTTTTCAGCCTCTTCTCGATCCGTCTCGATTGCTCAATCAAGAGCGCTGAGTGGCATGGCAAGATCATGGGCCATACATTGGACCCCTATCATGGGCTCAAGTCAATATACGGAGATGCATGATGAACACACGCTGTACCTTGAAAGGGGGTACTCGATCCTCAAGTCTCCTGAAGGCCCCTGACCTGCATCATGCTGATATGTTGGAACTGTGCAGGAATGTGCTCCGGCGCAGTACATGCAAGAACACATGTTCATCCAATATAGTGTTTAATTAGGTGCTATGGGGTATGCCAAAGCAATGGTGGAATGGAACTGCTTTGGCCAATTCTGCACATGGTATTCCTGGCCTGTGTTTTTTGTTGCGCTCGGCACGTCCCGCACTTTGATGATGTACATTGGCCGATCAACACAAACATAAAGCTCTTCAGCCATTTGAGAATCCGCCATGTACAGTATATTTTTCCTTGATCTGAACATGAGTTGTTTTGTTTGGTGATGTTTTCATGGTTCCTTTATATAC